CTTGGTGCTTCTATGTTCTTCTTAATGAATATTTGCCTCAAATTCTTTTTATTATAAGAGTTTTCTATATGCACAGTCACGTAATCGATGGTGAAATGTGTTACAAACAAAAATCAACCTCAGTGAGGACCAGAACGAGACATGCAGCTTTTGTTGATAGCTGTTTAATAATTTGCTTTCAGCAAAATACATGCTTTGTAGCATTTATTAATTTCTTTGGTGTACACCCTCATCTCAGGACCATTTCCTAGCAATTGGTGTGATGTCACTGATTGCAGAGCTAGGAAGGAGTATCAACTTCTACCTCTGCCTGGGTTTATGTGCACATGTGTGTTTTTCAGCATATATGTGGATTTATGTGTAGACTTTCTATTTTAGGTAGGATTTCTCTCTGATACTTGTCAGAGTAGACACCTGAAAAAAGTGAAGTAACCATTTGTGCAGATAAGCTATAAAGAAGATTCCTAAAAATAAGGCTGAACAGATAGCTCAGCAGGCTAAAATGCCTGCTTAAGTAGAGTGAAGCAGCTGGGGTTCCATCCCCTCCATGCCTTGCTGGCCCTGACCCCAGGGCATGCTGAGATGGCAACTGAGACTGGGTGTGGTGGCATGTGCCTGTGATCTCAGTGCTTGGGAGGACAAAAACAGAAGGACCACTACAAGTCTGATACGTAGTGAGACCCTGTAGTCCCTGGAGACCCTGTACCAAATACATAAAAAAAATTCCTGGCAGAGGGAATAATGAGGACAAACATGTGATGGAGGACTGTCCTTCGGTGCTTTTGATTTATTTCAGATGTTTCCAAGGGCCACTGTCTTGGTCTGTTTGGGCTACAGTAACACTCTGGGTGGCTTATAAACAATAGAAAATCATTTCTCACAGTTCTCAAGACTAAGAAATTGAATACCAATAAAGTTGCCAGGGATTGTTATATTCTGTTGAGCATCCTCCTTCTGATTCAAAGATTCTGCCTTTGGGTGTGTCCTCACATGCTGGAAAAGCGAAGACTATACTTTGGACCCTTCAAAAAAATGAAGATGTTAATCTAATTTGTGGGAGCCTCAAGGCATATTCAGCGCAGGCAGGCCCTCCGTCCAACTCCATCCTGTTACTGAGTGGGTTTTAGCATATTTATTTTGTGAGGACACAAACATAAGCACTACAGCTGATGTCAAGAAGGCTAATAGAGCTCCAGGGGGTGATTTGTTCAGCTGTGGGAAATAAGATTGGGAGTCATTTGTGTGTTCACTTGTGAGGGTGTGGCGTGGTTGCAAAGATTATCTGACTGCAAGTTGGTGGACAGAAATAGAAAGATTGATGAGTCTCACAATTCACATTGAACTAGCAGCAGTTTCCCTCATTGATTCAGGTCTCTCAGTCTGATGTTCAAATTTAAAAAAAATACTGTCTGAAACATTGTACTTGTTTATAAAATCCTAGATGGGAATTGCTGCCAATTCTGGGACTTCTGATTTGCCTTTTGTTTAAAATAATTATTTCACCGTAATCTCCTTGCCATAGGCCTGTAGTAACTAATTACACTTAAGGTGTGAACGATAGTTTCTACAATCTAAATTTGTTTAAAAATTTGTGTAACTGTAATAATATATCAAAACTTGTTCAAAACATGTTAGTTTCCCTTGCCCAGTTATTTCTCTTTTCCCTTTTATCAGTGTAGTTGTCATCCTCTTTGACAGAACATGTTTGATTTCTAGTTGAATATGCGTCTTGATTTGTAAATACCTTACTTAAATGATCTTTGATTTTAACGTTGTTTATAATTTCTTAGTTTACATTCTAGGAGCTTTTCTTTAAATAGGTGGGAAGCCATTGGAAGGGTTGGAGGAGGAACAGTGACATAATCTAGTTAAATACGGCTCTAACAGCCTCCTTGACATCAGCTGTAGTGTTTATGTTTGTGTCCTCCGAAAATAAATGTGTTGAAACCCAATCAGTAATATGATGGTGTTGGAGGGAGGGCATGTCTGCATCAAATCCACCTTGAGGCTCCCATAAATAGAAACAGGCTGACAAAGGCGGTGTTGCAATAGTCCGAGAGAGAAATGAAGGTGGCTTGGACCAGAGCAGTAGCAATGACAGTGCGAGATGGGATCAGAGAGCGGTAAGTAGAGCTGAGCTGCTTGCTGAAAGACTAAGTGAGAGGTAAGAAAGAGAGGAGTGGAAGTGGAGACCTGGCTTTGGCTTGAGTAGTCGGAAGGATGCTAGAGACATCAGCTGTGAGTGGGGAGAGGGTAGGCGGAATGGGCTGAGAGCACAGGGAAGATCAAGGGCTAATTCTGGTCATAGGACACTAAAGATGATGTTCAGACTCTTGTCCTCATGGAAAACTGAGTCTGCATGTCTGCAATTTAAGGGTGAAAATAAGCAGCATTTTTTTTTACAGTCATATGAGATGAGATCATACACAGAGTAAAAATAGAGAAGATATGGGAGGCCTGAGTCATAGAGTATGTCAGATTTAGAGACCAAGGACACAAGGAATCAGACAGAATTGTGTCCATTAAAAGAAAATATTATCTTGGAGTAAATAGTTATAAAGTCTTATAAATACTTCTGGTTGGTCCAACAAGCTAGAGCTTGAGAACTGATCATTGCTTTAAAAGTCTCATAGTAATGGCTGGTTGGATCAAAAGAACTTTGGAGAAGGGAGAGGTACCAAAGTGTGATTCAAGAGAGGATGGGAGATACTGATCATTCTGAATTTAGCCAACTGTTTCTAGCTATAAAGTGGAAGCAGCTAAAACAGGTTCCACTAAGGACTTTTCAAAAGACTCAACATATAGCATGGATGTATGATGTGGGAAAATTCACCAAGAAGGGAAAATCATGAAGCAAAAGAAAAGGGAGAACATTCAGCAAGAGTCCTTTAAAAAAGGAGAACACACAAGTGAAGTGGCTACCATGTAATTCATTGGAACATGTGGAAATCTTGTGTGTAGATGTGGTAGTGAAAGTGTACAAAATTTCTGAGTTTCTTCAGTTTTGCTGGTGAAGCGCTATCACTCGTTGAGCGTGGAGATGGGGCAAAAAGTGAGGGGAAAGGCATGTCATGGTTATTTAAGTGGGCAGATAAATAAAATGGCTCAGCAAATCTCTCTCTCTCTCTCGTACAGGGTTTGCAGGGTCTACAGTGTCTACAGGGTCTCACCACATAGATTGAACTCAGAGCAATTCTCCTGTTTTCAGCCTCTCAAGCGCCGGGATTACAGGCATGTATCACCACACCCAGTCTCAGTCATCATCTCATACGCCCGGAGGCAGAGCCAGACTGCGCTCAGGGATCTAACCCCAGCCACTGCGCTCTGCCTAAGCAGGCGCTTTAGTCCACTGAGCTATCTTGCCGGCCTGCATATGGTTCTCTTAAGTTGATATTAGCGTACAGACACATACTTAAAACAGATTAAGAATTTAACTGGCAGAGTTAAGGTGTGTCAGATAAGTGAGCAAAACAGTGAAAAGGGAAATATTAGCTGACAGTACAATGATGTAAAAAGAAGATAAGGCATAGAATGAGACTGGGGTGGGGCAGGGACAGAAAATAGAGTGGACAATGATTCCAGTGGCATTGAAGAATGGCTGGAGTTGTGATAACGGAAATCTGCAACATGAGGTTGAAGAGTGAGACTAGATGTATTGAGGTTATGGAAGAGTAGGTAGGGTATTTGGTGATGACCAGGTAGCATATATGACTACATATATGAACACATGTCCAAGTAACTTGTGGGATGTAAGACAAAATCACTAGCAGAGAGGAAGTCCCCGGATTGGGAGGTCAGACTGTGAGTGGAAGGATATTTAGAGCACAGTAATTGACAGAGCTGGCTCTCACAGAATAGTCTAGCAGTATCAAAGGGCAATGTCAATGCAACATTAGTGTCAACACCACGTAAGTTCAGAGATAGTTTATCAAAGAATTTGGAATGGTAACCTGCAGCATTCTAATAAGTTTTCTGGATTGATCTGGGGCTGACCAAAATTTTACAACTAATGATATGGTCACTCAGAAGATGGAGAAGTTAACTTCTTAGAGACATAAAAAAGGCTTCAATGAATAAGGATTAAATGATACCAGAAAGTTATAGATTGTAAAGTTTAGGGAGAGAGGCCTTAAAGTGAGCCAAATTTATTTTAAAAAATTAGTCACACAGAAAAAGTTAAACTCAAACAAAATTATGTGGAAGTGTGAATGGTTAGCTGTTAACACATGAAAATCAGACACTGGTAGAAGACACTGGATCTTAAGGAATCCTAATACAACAATCAATCTTCTTTTTAAATCTTTATTAGTACATGTTTGCAGTATATAATGATTCCATCCCTCATGGGATGTTTGTCCAAGTATATAGCAGATTTCAGTTCTTTTCAATATTTCTTTCCCTTTTGCTCACTCTCCCATCCCACTATCTTTTAGTCCCTTTTCCATTTGTAAAAGATCTCTGTCCCTATTTCCCAGCACACATTTTTACAAATGAGCTTTTAAAAATATTTGTTTATTTATTTATTTGATATGGGGTCTCACTCTCACAGCTTGGACTCACAGTGATCCTCCTGTCTCAGCCTGCCCAGTGCTGGGATTACAGGTGTGCACCACCATGCCTCGGGTTTCAGTGGCCAGCACGGCAAGCCCTGGGGTTACAGGGCCAGCACAGCATGCGGTACAGGGGATCGAACCCAAGTCCTTGTGCTTGCCAGGCGGGCCCTTAGACCGCTGAGCTACCTCCCCAGTCCTAGAATTTGAGCTTTTGATTTTAAGAGAAACAATGTGTTTATGGTTTATTTCACCTAACAGTATGGTCTCAAGTTGCATCCATGTTCTTATAAATGACTTGTTCATCTTTAGAGCAGACTAATACTCATGGAGTGTAAATACCACATTTTCTTTATTGATTCACGGACATACAGGTTTCTTCCAACATTTAGGTATTATGAGTTGTGCTGCTATAAAGATTTTAGTCCATGGGTATGAGACTCAGTATTGCAGTGAGAACTTGGAAAGCAAGTGAAGCTGCCCTGACTAAGGAACTCATACATTTTCCCATCATCTCAGGGACCTCAGAGGAAACAGCTCCATGGAGCAGTTACTATGCAGAACTTCAGGCAGCCTCAGCCTCTCCATGACGTCAGGAAGCTCAGGGCCCCGCCCACCGCCGGTGTCAATCATCTGTAGCCGGGCGCTTCCGGTGGCGGGCCCGCGCGGCGACGTCACTTCCTGGCGCCGACCCGCCTAATTGGCGGCAGGTTCAAACCGTGGAGCTGTGGTCTGTGAGACTGAAGAAGCCGCTCGGCCCCGACGCGCCCTTCCTGACAGAGCTTCCCAGAACTCCGGCGCTGCGCCGAGCATCTTGGACGCCGAGCGGGCGGGTGCTGAGCGGGGCGATGGCGCTGTCGGCTACGGTCTCCCAGAAGAAGCACGTAAAGCGCAAAGCTCCGCGCGGCTTCCTCAGGCGCCTGTTCAAGCGGCAGAAGCCCCACCTTCGTCTGGAGACGCGCGGCGACGTGCTGGTGAGCGCCGGCCCGGGCCGGGGCGGGAGGGCCGGCCGCCCGCTTCGCTCCTTCGCCCGCAGGTCGGGGCTCGGCGTTTCCGGCCGCAGCGGGGAGGCAGCCCCAGCTCGCTTGTCCGCTCGCAGCCTCGTCCCTTGGTGCTGGGACCCGGAATGGAGGTGTCAGGAGCTCGCGGGGAGACGGTAACAGCGTCGGCTCAGTGCCCAACCCTTGCCCGAAATAGGGTCTTGGGGTGTCCCGAACGGAACCCAGGCTGGGCTGCTGCTGAGTGTGCTTGCGAAGGTGTGCAAGACGTGTTCTGTGACGTGCAGGATTTTGCAGCTCCGCTGGGGCGGTTCTTAAACTTCTTGCCTCTTCACTGTGTTGACAGAACACACAGGCCTGTTTGCCTTACTTTATGCAGCGTACTAAAGACTTGATCCAGAGTGCTTAACTGTGTATTTACCTTCCTAGACGCAAGGTAGAACACCTCTTAGCTGCAAAAGCTGTTCACACGTTATACCTGAAGCGTACTGCTTCCTTAATAAAAATCCCCTATCGAACTAATTTGCAGTGCAACTTGCGTGTTGGATGCCTATAGTACGTATTTCTATAATAGAAACAGTATTGAGAGGGGTAACTGTAGTTTTCGTTAATAGTGCATTGAGGAAGAAGATAAACTGCAACTCACAGTGTACCGTGTGCCATGATAGGAAGGAAGCTCAGGGTGTTGTTGATCCATGTAGTCTTTCGTTCTGGCAGGTTGGGCTTGAGAAGTCTGCAAACCAGAAGGATTTCTAGAAGCAAAGATGCATTGGAATTCTAAAGGTACTTCAGAAGACAAAGTATGGGAGTTGAGGAAGGCAGGAGATGAAATTGCAAAGACCTACTCAAGTGGAATTTAGTGTGAAGAAATATAGGATTTGTCCTGAGAACATCTGAAAGCTATCTTTTAAAGTAGAACATACAGATTAACCGAAGAAATTCTGCCATGTTGTGGACTATTTTTTGCAATAAAAAGAAGTGGAATGTTATTGGAAGTGTATAACTAATTGAATGACATGCTGTAATGAATGAGGATTGTAGTGCTTTACAGCAGAGTACTTATGAGTGTTATAGAGGAAAATTCAGCAAGTGTATCAAAAAGTATTTCTTACAGGCTTTTCATCTTGTTAACGTTGAATCCCTAATCTTTTTTCTCCAGATTATCACAAGAGCACTCTTAAAAATATGAATCTATTAAAGAGTTCTGCATTGCATAAAACATTTGAAATATTACCTAATTAACATTTATTAAGTATTGTTTTCAGCACATAAGATAGTGCTGTTGTTTAGGAGTGGTTTTAACTGCAAAGATCACTTACTACCTACGTGACCTTTAAACAATGAAAGAAAATATGTGTTAAAGTTATTCTAGCAAACTGAAATGGAACCAAGCGTCTGAAGGTGGGGGGTGAAGGGGACAGAATGTAAAAAGATTGAAGATTTAAGATACTTCATATACCAACTACCCCCAGTTAATGTCATCTAGAATGTTGTAAACATGAACTAAAAATAATGAAAATGTGGAAAGGGAATCTAGAGACAGGAGGGAGGAGTTGGTGGGGAGAGAAAGGAATAAAAGTCAAGATGTATTTAGTATGTGTAGCCACTCTAACATTAATGTAAATATACACGCCAAACATGTAGAAATAAAAGGTAAAAAATAAAGATGCTATCTAACTGGACTAAGTTGGTAATGTCCTCAAAACACCTGGCTGAAGCAAAGGGTGGGGAAGACAGGAGCAGAATCTAAGGGAGCACTGCCTGTGATTGCAGAAGGAGGGGTGAGATGTAGGACTGCAGCTCACTTTACGTTATCACTTGCTTGCACTGTGTGCATCTTAACTTTTTCAGGGTATGTTTGTGTAGGTCGATTAGTACTTTTTTTGTTGTTTGGATGTCGATTTTAGGTAAAATATTAGCCAAAATGTGTATATCATTTTCTAATGGTATGTGTCATTTTCTAATATAAATAGGATGTATACATTAGAAAACTTTATATACTATACACAGTATTGTATAATCTGATGACATAAGTGGCTTGGATATATCTAAGCTTATTTTTATGAGACTGTATAAAAAACTGGCTATCCTGGTTGACTAGAGAATGATGTGGAAGAGGGACTGATTTTTGAAGCCTACCTCCTTGTACAATGTTTTGTGTTATATTTTATTTGAAAGTCATTATAGACTCACAAGGTCTGAAAATGGTACAGAGCTTCCACGTATCCTTACGCAGCTTCCTACAATGCTAGTAGCTCCCAAAACTATATTCATATCATCTATTTGAAGCAAAAATTTTTAAAAAGACTTAAAGATTATTAATAGTGCATTTGATTATGTGATGGTAATTCACGGATAACAAGTAATGATTAATATTGATTTGAAAGTAAATATATTTTCATATTTAGCATTCTTGAAAATTTTTATTTAATATTTTGAAGTTTTAGAGAGGCATTACTGGGGCATAAACCTATGTTCTTTGCACTGAGCTAAATCCCCAGCTCTTTTTATTTAATTATTTTATTTTGAGACAGGGTTCTGCTAAGTTGCTCAGGATAATGTTTAACTAATGATCTTTCTGTCTCAACTTCCCAGAGTGCTGGCTTTACAGATGTGTGCTACTGTGCCAAGCTTTGAATAGATATTTTAAGTTGACTGTGGTTGAAGAGGATGGAGAAGTAGAGAGAGGAGGAGGGAAGAGAAAGGGAATGGGATATAAAAAAGACCTTATGATGTGTTATGTACATACACCAGCCCCAATGATGGTCGTAGTCATTTTGTATTGCAACATGTAGTAATTTAAGTTAAAAAATTTTCGATTGCAGAATGTAGAATAAGAGCTAAAATATAGTAGTTATGCTTTAACATACTTTTAAAATTTACATTATAAATTTAAATGTCATTGTTTCAAAACAGTGTTTGGATTTAAAAATTGATATTTTCTCTCTTAAAGGTTCATTTGAACTGTTTACTGTTTATTCATCGGTTAGCAGAAGAGGCCAGGATAAATGCTTGTGAGAGTAAGTGTGGAATCATTAAGAAGGATCATGTTGTGGCTGCAGCAAAGGTACAACCAGAATTTCTTTTCTTGAGTAAGAATTAACTTTATTTTTTAATGTATTTAGTACAGGATCTGTAGGGTCTCACTATACAGATTGGACTCATAGTGATGCTCCTGTTTTCAGCCTCCCAAGCACTGGTATTATAGGTGTGCACCACCATGCCCAGCCTCATTTGATGTCTCAGCGTGCCCTGGGATTGGGGCCTACACAGCAGGCCAGGGATCCAACTCCCAGCCCCTCTTCCTGCCTAAGCAGGCACTTTAATCCACTGTGCTATCTGGCCAGCCCTCAAGAATTAACTTTACAGCTCAGTCTTAGCTCAGCATATTAAAATGACATTACTTTCTGTACCTCGTGGTTATACTTTTCTGCTGGATGGTTAAGACCAAGTTAAAGCAACACCTATATAAGTAAAAATGTAGCTTTTGTATCTGGCAAGGTCAGTCAAATTCCCCCCACAATTTCCTCAGAGATCATATACAGAACCTTGTAGATTTTTTGTCAGTTGTCAGCCATGTGGATGAGTCACAGCCATTGCTTGACCAATTAGCTCTCAGTGAAAGCCTGAGAGGATTTTTTTCTCTTTAGGTGACTCTCCTTAGGCACACTATACATCATCGATCACTTTCCTCTGTGGCCTAATAATCTACTTAATCAGAAAATTTGGGATACTACTGAGTTACAAGATGTCACAACGCAGGTTCTCTTACATCCCAAGTCCTTCCTGACTAGGCCAAAATATTAGCTATCCTTGTGGCCCCTCTTTTTCTCTAATTTTTGGTCTGCAAACTTTAGTTGCTAAACATCCAGAAGAGAAGCTTAATGATATTATTATCCTGTAACAGAGACAATTGAGTATAACATCACTATCTGAATATCAAACGCCTTAGACATAACATGGAACTGATATTTTCCAACAATGATAGATATTCTAAACTTTAAATCCCTATAGAATGTGAAAAAAACACAATTACACATATCTACACAGAAATTTAGAAATCAAACCATATACAGACATTTGCCAGTTCTGCTGACAACCCACTACTATTACGGACTATTGGAGTATAATGGGCTATTTTGCTGAATTTAAGTACCTACAATAGTTGAATTGGCATAAATTATGAAAAGGTCCTTTAAAGAGTTCTCCAAATACAGCTTCTCTAACAACAGTGGAATACTCATCTCTGACAAAACAAAACACAAAGGGGGACATAAATGAAGTACCATTTTGGAGTGAAAAATATATATATTTGCATATGCAATCACAGCTACCTTCTGATAGTTCAGTGAGAATGGTCTGTACTAATAATGTCTAGACAATATGATGTCTGCATCTTGTCCTCTGAATAACTACTGTGAAGGCAACAATATACAATGTATTAATTATTGTAATTGTCCTGCTAACCTTTTTTGAAACTGTTTCATTGCTATTTTTTTCTCATTAAAATGAATAAAAAGTTAAAAATAATTAACTTCAAAGATACCTTCAGGGTCATTCTCTCTGCCTGATTCTGATAGCTCACATATCTCATTCAGTTTTGTTGATTGATATGTGGCCCTTCATGTTGATGAGTTTTAATGAAAGAATTTAGATGTTTCCCAGTCTGTACATTAGAGGATTCTGATTACAAGATTGATTGCCACTGCTTTTTACTTTTTAGGGGAGAATGAATGATCTGATTGCTGAGAAGTTTTGTAATCTTGAAATTTGTCAAAATTTTCATCATTTTAAGTTATCCTAATTACCTAATTGATTTCCTAGCTTTGCTTTGAGGTAGGAGTGAATGAAATCTCGTATGAAAAATCTCTTACTGGTATTTCTATACAATGGAAGGATGTGCCAGGTAGGGCAGTTTTCCTAATAGGTTTCTGAAAACTCTTATTTCCAAAAGATGTTAATAGATTCCCTTCTTAGAAACTTTTGTGTTCGGATAAATGTTAATAATCTAAAAAACCATAATACATCCTTGTTTGGTCATAGTGCTGTTATTTACATGTAGAGCTGGTTTCCACAAGAATATTGAAGAAATTGGGAGTCATGGCTAAGGGAAGAAAATAGTTTTTGTTAGACTTTCTCTTTGCTTACACTTTAGAAGATGCTTATTTCAAATTATAGACCAACAAAGTAATAAAAAATCCAAGTATATAAATTTACGAAAAATAACCTAGGAAGGAAACTTGCTGAATTCTGCTCAAATGAGCATTTTGTAAATTCATTTGCATGTGTCTACTTTCTTTTGCAATGTCTGCAGTAGTATCTTGTAGGACAGTGAAGTACTGGCTTAGGTAACGGACCTATGTAACATTGTATTGGGAAGCATAGGAGTGGGTGTGTGCTCTGACAAGTTTTAGACACTTTAATTCTCTTGTTATTATAAACATTCTAAATATTTAAATATAGAAGTATTTTTTTTTCTGAAAGTAAGAGTATATATGTGTTTTAAGTTTTAATAAATTATAGGTGTGTTTATGTAAAATAATAGCTGTGTTCTTTTGAAAACATTGGAGGTATTCTAGCCTCGTCCTCTGGGTCTGGTTACAATTAGAGATCCCCTTTTGTCTTATTTCGGCTGCCAGTTGTGTATTTTGAAAATTGTCTACTTAACAAGGTATTCAGCAAAAGATGAAGTCTTAATCTCCAGTTGATATAATTGTAGCCCTAATATGAGAAATTTTATGTTTCATTGGGTTTATACTATATAATCGTGAAGTGCTTGATTTCTGGTAGGCTTTTTGGGTTTTAGAATATTCTTTATCTTCTTGGATAACTATAAAATCCTCACATTTGAAACCATTAATCTAGATACTTTTAAATTACAGTTGAAGAGATTAGTGACTGGAGGTAACTGTAAGATCAGGTTTTGAGAACCTAAGTATGTTTAATGTTGAGAGAAGAAGTCCATTTTAGACAAAAATTTAAATCCTTTATAAGGCAAAGGATTCACTGATTCCTTCCAAATTGGCTGTTATGTGTTTAGTTTTGTATATTATGCACATAAGGCTATTTAACTTTTATTGAGAAATAGTTTTGTTTTCTACTGATGTAATATGAATCTCTACCCCCTCCCCAGGTAATTCTAAAGAAGAGCAGAGCTTAGAAGTTAAAGAACACATTCTTGAAAATTATATGATGGTTTATTTTGATCGGTGGATTCCAGTACTTCAGACCCTGGAAAGAAAACATTCGTTCAGAAATTTAAAAATATAAGGAACTGTGTTAAATAATTATATGTCACCTAATTATATAACCTTGAAGAATGGACAAATTTATAGAAACAAGCTATCAGGAGTGAGACATGAAGAAATAAAATATATGGACACCTGTGTAAATCAGGATATTGTGCCTGAAATCTCTTCAGAAATCTCAGCAAGAAAAATACATACTGGACAGCTTCAAAGTATATTCTATCAAATTTTCAAAGAATGCTGATCTTTCTTTAATGTTTCAAAAAATAGAATCAGGAATTCATTCTATAAAGTTTCAGTTTCTCTCTATAAAATTCTTACATAAAGGAAATAATTTCTACTGTTTTAACTCTTCAAGAATAAAAACACTATTGGGAAAGTTAACATGAAGAATATTCTGTTATTTGAGCATAAGAACACTAACTCGTACTGTCTAAAGTTTAGGAACACTTCCAAGCCCCCTAGTAGCTTTAATTTTCTTTACATGAGAGCACAACTCTGAATGAGCCAGGTATAGTAGAGCACGCCTGTAATCTCAGCTGCGCAGGAGGCTGATGCCATAGGATTGCAAATTCAAAGTCAGCCTAAGCAACAGCAAGATCTTGTCTCAGAATTGAAAGTAAAAAAGGTTGGCGTGGGTTATAGCTTAGCATCAAAATGAAACAGAAAGAGACATGAAAGAATAAGAGAAACCATCTTATTAATGTCTTAGATCTTTTATTTGTTTTTTATATCCTCTCTTGCCTTGAAAAATTTCCCACTGTTATAATTTTCCTTAAAAAGTACTTGTACTGAAAACAAGCTTTTCAGAATTGAAACTGTTACCACTTTGATTTGTTTAAAGGTGCATATAAGAAGAGACAAAACTGCTAGAACACGAGTTGTTTCAAAGATATTTATTGCATGAAGTCAGGACGGTTTTGGCATATATACTTAAATTTTATCTCTGAGACATAGTTAACATAGAAATACACTTGGAAAGAAGAATGGCCTAGGTCTGCTTAGTTTCAGTTTGGAGGTTTTTTTTTTTTTTTTGTAGACTCAATAACCACCATGATCTCTGCTTGTTGAGTGAACAGTAGCCCTGCCTAAAAGTCCATGTGCTGGCAAGTTTGAGAGAACCGGAGATGTGTGTGTCGAGTTTGGACAGCAAGGAGACCAACTTAGAAGACTGGCTTGTGTTCAGGTTGGAGGGATTTCATCAGCCAGCTGTCGGTGGTGGAGGCAAGAACCAGAGGCCATAAACTGGCAGTCTGAGTACTGTAATTGGCCTGCAGGTAGATTTTATTTAGTGCACACAAAGTTTTTGTTTTTTAATAAATTAACTGATTATATTTAAACATTAAGGTTCACATACAAGTTTAATTCTTGGCTTCCTTTGAAAAATTGAACATTGGAAGTAATATATCCATAATCAGTTGAATCTGAGTAGTAGCCCCTCTTTAGGTGTGGGCCTATTCTTTGATTCACTTCACTTAGGTCTGTTTTCTTACCTGCAAGACTTCAGGTGTTCGAGGCCATAGTCTATTTGAAAACTTAAAATCTGTCATTTATCCTGAGATTTCTGGCTAATTTTGACAATACACTAAAAATAGGTAATTTTCATAAAAACAACACAATAGTCTTGAGATCTGAGTGGTGTTAAATTACTCAGTTCTCCATTTTCAAATAGAATCACTGTTAGCATGAATAAACTCAGATCTCATCAAATAATTGTAATGTGAGAGTCAGACATCACTAAATGAAATTGTGACCTAATTAAAGACCCTTAGGAGTTCATGAGTTAAGAGTAAATCCTAGCTAGAATACTACAATATAAAGAAAAACAATAAGTATTATCTATGTGTATAAAGTGTTTATGATATAAGGCAGTTATTTTACAGCTTTGGTTTAGGAATTTTAACAACCAGAAGGTAAGAGAAAGATTATCTTTTTATTCTATCGCTGGCTCATAAAACATTAGATTAAAAATGAACAGTTTTATGTTTTTAGACAGTATGGATTTTCCCTCCATATTTTGTGGGCCATGAGACTCCTTAGTTGTGAAGTCCAGATTTCCAGCTAAGCAGTTTGTTCTTAGTGGGCTTTTAAATCAAGTTTGATCTGTGAGATTTGAGAGTTAAGGTTGCCAAGATTTAAATGAAGAGGAAAAACAGCTTTATCCCTATTCACATTAATGTGTGAGACTGTAGTTGTAAAGCATAAGTACTAAAAATAATTTAAATTCAAAAATAAAGTTAGGAGAGTATGCTATAATTTTCTTTATACTGACCATGCATGCAGGGAAAAACGCTGGATTCTCACAAATTATACTGTAGCTATATTTTGTTAGTATTATAAGTTCATGTTAAAAATAATTTTGAAAATTGTTTCTTCTACAGAGTTTTAACCAGTATTTTAAAAAAATCTTCCTCATGATATAAACAGTTCATATCTTTAGCCCCAGTATACTGAGAATTTGATTGAGGATCTATTGTAAATTTCAATACTGTAGAGAATTTTCTTGTTATTTTAGAAAACCTGTTGAAATTTTACGTGTAAGTTAAATTAGTAAATTTTTTATTTTAAGGTTGTTACTTAATAATTAAATTTACTGTTGATAACACAATTGTCTGTGATATGTGTATATTTTTGGTCAATTTACATTTATGTGAATGTTAAGTTTTTAATGGACCATATTTGTATAGGTACCTTAAGATCTAATAAGGCCCTTTTTGAATTATTGTGACTAGTTTCCCAATTTATAAATGTATATACTTAATTTTGTCAGGCATGTTTATTTAGCTCTTGCTAAATAACTTCTGTGCCAAACATGGAAGAAAGATAAAAGATAGCTAATGTTCTTGTCCTTTAGAAACTTACCAAATAACCCTTTGAGAATATTTACTGTAAATTTTCTGGAATCTTTGCAAATGAAAATTTTAAAAGATTCTTCAAGATCATTGTAATAATAGTGTTACACTGTAAAGGATTTGGGTTAGAAAGTCTTCCTTATATAATTTGGGTGGGAAGAGTAGAAGAAATTTTATTCTTCCTAATAGAATTTGTGGGAAAGAACAATTAGAGTTGAAGATTATCAGGAAACACATAGGAAATGATATGGTAAGTGGTGAGAAGTATACACCAGAAGAGTAACTCATCAGTGTGAAAGATATATTAAGGAGATTGTCACAAAGAGTTTCAAATGGTGGGAGACTTGAAACTAGGTATTTAGGTTCAGTGTAGAATCGTGGAGGCAATGACAGGTTTTTAGGGCTGTTCATAAAGAAAATTATTTCTAGATGATCATTCTAGTAACCAGAAGTTGATAAAGAAATAGAGATGATAAAACTAATTTGGGACCTGTTGCAGTACGTCAAGTATTAACTTCAAGTCTTTGCACAAAAGACTGGAACTTATTAAATAAAGAGGAGATATAACTGAGAGAACTGAGCAAAGTTTACATATTTTGTTTAATGTTTGTCATTTTGATTTTTAATTCAAGCCAGTTGAAAGTAGATATTGATAAATTATAAATTTACACCATGATCATGATCTTATGTGAATTTGGAATGTAACCATACAAATTATGAACATCTATATATCAGACAGGATAAGGGAGTGGACAGACTAGGAATCCTGCAGTGTCTTTACCATTTCATCATGGTCTTGGTGTTTTGGTCTTTGCTCTCAGTGTTTGGGAAGAAGGCTGCCATGTTCATGTGTATCCATATATGAAGTTTCCAGGAAGAGGCTGCCCTTGTGGATAACACCTTTGTGTTTTGTACTAGAAGCAAAAAGAAGGGACAGGAAGGAGTATACCTGTATCTGAAGAAAAGTCTTCATCTCACTGACTTGAACTTGTCATGACCACCAGCTGCTGTGGAGTCAGGGAAACACTCTTCGGCTGTGTACTTTCTCAAGGTTCTGCCATTAGGGAAGCAAAAGTAGATACTGGGTATGCATCCCTGATAGAAGAGTTATTTTGTAGAACTTACTGATTCTAAAGAAAATACATAAAATTGTAAGTGTTAAGACTAGGATATTGGGTAGGAGTTCTTTTGGTTGATTGTATGCAGACTCAGGGCATTTGTTCCTGTTATTCTGATCTTACTGCTTTCTCCTTAGGGAAACCAGATCTTACCAGCAAGAAAATGTAGAAAATACATACACTTTGAGGGCCAATTTGTAAATCTGAAAATATCATATAAATACATGTCTTTAAATATTCTTAAAGTTAAAATTTTACATTTTTGGTTTGTAGTCTTAAACCCTGAAAACTTACATTTTTGAACTTGCCTGTCACTATGTTCTCTTGCTTTCTAATCCCACTAATGATCCCAGGTGTAGGTAAGAGCTAAAATTATACTAGTTCTATAATAGGAAATATAGCCAGATAAAATGTCAGGCTAATACACTTTTTCCCTAAATGGCATGTAATATACTTGCAACATTGCATAGCTAAAAATAGAAAGCCAGTGAAATCTTTGAGCATATTTTTTATTTTATTATTTTTTTTTTTTTTGCAGAACCAGGGATTGAACTCAGGCCCTTGCGCTTGCCAGGGATGCACTTACTCCACTGAGCCATCTCCCCAGCGCCAGTGAAATCTTTGGATTGGCAAACCAACCCAGAAAGTTTTAAGAAGGAGGCCCCAAAAGAAAGTAGTTGTTTGAAGTATCTTTTGAACAAGTTCCCAGAGATGCGGAATAACTGAATGTCTATTTAGCTGATAGAATCCCTAAAGAAGTACAGATAGAACCAATGATAAGTGTACTTAGTGTCCCTTATGAAAATGCATTCACTACATGGTTTATAAGATGTCTTAAGTGTTCTCAAATTATTACCAGTAATATAGAGTATGTTTATGAATAATGGTTCTCTAATCATTTTTGAATTTTAATTGTTAATTTCTGGATGTACCTGAGTCATTTTTTTCCCATAATTTTGTTGAGAGACATATAGCAGTGAGACAGTTTCAAATCAAATTAGTATGACAGTTTCAATAATTAACACATTGCATACTCTCTCCCTAGTGGTTATTTGCTATACAACATGCAGACATGATATCCTGTTTACAAACACTATTAGAACAAATCCCTCTATTCATTAAGAGAATGTAGCTATATATCTATCCTAACTATTTTGAATACACAGACACAAAATGGACATTCATCT